GCGGATATGACGATCCGAGAGGGAGGAGTCAGGGTGACGTGGGGGAGAAGTTATAGCGGGGAGACAGGAAGCTATCTGGGTCAGTCGGGGGAGTGAAGGGTGGTGAACACGTTGGGTGGTCGCCGTGCCTCAGCCTGGTGGCTGAGGGGCTCATGACGGCGCCAGCCAGCGGGGTGGAAGAGAGAGTGGAGGATTGAGGTTGGAGATGGCGAGATAGCCACAGAGGCCACGAAGGGCTGAGGTAGGAAGTGGCGAGATAGCCACAGAGGCCACGAAGGGCTGAGGTAGGAAGTGGCGAGATAGCCACAGAGGCCACGAAGGGCTGAGGTAGGAAATGGCGAGATAGCCATAGAGGCCACGAAGGGCTGACGTTGGGAGGTGGCGAGATCGCCACGCACGGAGGAACAGGGAGCAGCGATGGAGCTGCTGTGGGGGGAGCCGGAGGGCTGCACCAAGAGCCTGCAGCGGAGCTGCAGGAGCGTGGAAGGCTACGGGAGCGAAGGCAGATGTGGGGCTGCCAGGGAGAGAGTCTCAGGAGGAGTGCCGTGTGGGAAGGAGAACGCGAACCCCAAATAAAGGACACGGAGTCAGCAAGAAGTGTCTGAGTCCTTTTATTACACATTGATGGGCAGTGCAGTCTGTATGTCTCTGTGTGGGCAAAGTTATTGCTGGTATATTGTTTTTGTAGCGCTGTATATATATTGGTATTTTACTAATAGCAATTTTGACTCCCTAGGAAACAATGATGTCAAGAAAGAGAAAAATTGACTCGGAGTGTAGGATATTCAAAGAACAGTGGACTTATGATTACTTTTTCATGCAGTACAAGGAAAGAGCTGTGTGTCTGATATGCCAGAATATAGTGTCTGTGTTCAAAGAATACAATTTACGTCGACACTATGAAACTCAACATAAAGATAAATATGCTTGTTTGGTCGGAGAAGTGAGAAAAGATAAAATATTAAAACTGAAAAATACATTAACAACTCAGCAAAATACTTTTGTGAAGCAGAAGCAGCTAAATATTTCATCACTGCGAGCAAGTTTTCAAGTTGCCAAGCTAATAGCGTGCACTGGCAGACCATTCGTGGAGAGAGAATTTGTTAAAGAATGCCTTCTTTCTGTTGCCAAAGAGATGTGTCCAGAGAAGGTCGATTTATTTAGTACAGTGAGTCTTTTAGGACCTACAATTACACGGAGGATTGATGAAATGGGAGACAATTTGCATCAGCATTTGCAAAACTCCACAAAAAACTTTCCTATTTTTCCTTGGCACTCGACGAAAGCAATGATGTTCGTGATTCTGCACAACTTCAAATTTTTATTCGTGGGACGAATGACTATTTCGAAGTCACAGAAGAGCTTGCTGCACTGCAAAGCATCAAAGGAACAACTACAGGAGAGGGTATCTTTCGATTTAAAGCTTTCGTGACTGCAGGGATTCATCTTCTTGGTTCTTTCGGTAAAGTCACATAGAAGGGAAGTAATAAAATAATTCTCACGACGTTTCGGCCACAACGCAAGCAGCCGTTCTCAGGTGAAAACCAGGTCTGTTGGGGAGACGGCGTCTGAATGAAACAGCACACGAGCTTGGAGCATATATAAGCTGGGTTGGAAGCAAGGGAAAGAGCGCCATGACAAAAGAATTTGCATATCAAGAGGAATTTAGCATATTTATGGGAAATGCAGGAATGTGATTAGTACTACATATGCCCGTACTGCATATGTAGTGCTAATAACATTCCTGCATTTCCCATAAATATGCTAAATTCCTCTTGATATGCAAATTATTTTGTCAAGGCGCTCTTTCCCCCGTTTCCAACCCAGCTTATATATGCTCCAAGCTCGTGTGCTGTTTCATTCAGACGCTGTCTCCCCGACAGACCTGGTTTTCACCTGAGGACGGCTGCTTGCGTTGTGGCCGAAACGTCGTGAGAATTATTTTATTATGTTTTATTTTTATTATTTTATTACTTCCCTTCTACGTGACTTTACCGAAAGAACCAAGAAGAGAGGATATCTATGAAAAGGTTTGCCAAACTGTGAATGGTTTGGAGCTGAACTGGGCTAAACTAGCCAGTGTGACAACTGATGGTGCTCCTAGCATGGTGGGGTCTAAGAAAGGAGTAATTGCTCGCATTAACCAAGAGATGGACAAACATAACCATTCTCATCCAATAGCCATACATTGCCTCATCCACCAACAAGCGCTGTGTAGTAAATCACTGAAGTGGGACTCGGTTATGAAATTTGTGGTATCTTGTGTTAACTTCATTAGAGCTCATGCACTAAACCAAAGACAATTTCAGGCATTTCTGTCTGAGCTAAATGTTGACTATGAAGATGTTCTGTATCACACAGAAGTCCGTTGGCTGAGTCGAGGGAGAGTTTTGAAACGTTTCTATGACTTACTTCCACAGATTACAGCTTTTCTGCTTAAAAAAAACAAAAGTACCAGAGCTCAATGATGCAGAATGGAAATGGCACCTTGCCTTTCTGACAGATGTAACAGAGCTACTCAACAGTTTCAATGTGCAACTTCAAGGAAAGGGGAAGCTCATCTGTGATATGCAATCACATGTCAAAGCATTTGAAGTAAAATTAGGCCTCATCAAACAAGTTAAAGAGGAAAACTTCTGCCATCTCCCCACAACTCAAAATCTGTTAGCGGAAAAACCATTGGTTGCATTTCCAAACAAAACGTGTGGATTCACTGGAAAAATTGCAAAAGGAGTTCCAATTTGGATTTAAAGAGCTTCATCTCCATGAACAGGACATACAGCTTTTCCGTAACCCATTTTCTATTGACATTGAAAATGTGGATACAATTTACCAAATGGAACTGGCTGAACTGCAGAATTGTGACTCTGAAAGACGCATTCAAGTCAAGCAGCCTTCATAATTTCTATGCATCTCTCCCCTCTGAGACATATCCTCATCTCAGGAACCATGCACTCAAAATGGCAACCATCTTTGGCAGCACTTATGTCTGTGAACAGAATTTTTCCAGAATGAAACATTTGAAAACTCCAACCAGATCTAGACTAATGGATGCACACTTGCATCACTTGTTACGACTAGCAGTGACAAATATGGAACCGGACATTGACCATCTCATTAGCCAAAAGCAGGCCCATAGTTCCCATTGAAATACTGGCAAGTTTGTTGATTTAACTTTACTTCTTCATTTTAAATATTGTACTTGTTCCCGTTTTGTTTCTTCACTTCAAAATAAGATATATGCAGTGTGCATAGGAATTTGTTCATAGTTTTTTTTAACTATAGTCCGGCCCTCCAACGGTCTGAGGGACAGTGAACTGGCCCCCTGTTTAAAAAGTTTGAGGACCCCTGATCTAGACATATTCCACTCCTACACAGAGATAACACGCTGTGTAGGTCCAGACATATTACACTCCTACACAGAGATAACACTCTGTGTAGGTCCAGACATATTACACTCCTACACAGAGATAACACGCTGTGTAGGTCCAGACATATTACACTCCTGCACAGAAATAACACGCTGTGTAGGTCCAGAGATATTCCACTCCTACACAGAGATAACAACTCTGTGTAGGTGCAGACATATTACACTCCTACACAGAGATAACACGCTGTGTAGGTCCAGACATATTACACTCCTACACAGAGATAACACGCTGTGTAGGTCCAGACATATTACACTCCTACACAGAGATAACACGCTGTGTAGGTCCAGACATATTACACTCCTACACAGAGATAACACGCTGTGTAGGTCCAGACATATTACACTCCTACACAGAGATAACACGCTGTGTAGGTCCAGACATATTACACTCCTACACAGAGATAACAACTCTGTGTAGGTCCAGACATATTACACTCCTACAGAGATAACACTATGTGTAGGTCCAGACATATTACACTCCTACACAGAGATAACAACACTGTGTAGGTCCAGACATATTACACTCCTACACAGAGATAGCAACTCTGTATAAATCCACACAGCCGAGTTAGCGGAATCCATCTCCTGTACCGACATCACTCGGTCACAAATCTCGACGTCCGGAGTGCCGGACCACAGTCACGCACCACACCACGAGCCTTGCTCATATTTAGGGGCCGTCCATAAATGACGTCACGCACCTGGGGGGGGGGGGGGTCAGACATTTGTGACGATGTGAGACGATGGGGGAGGGGGGTTTGAGAAATGTGACGTCACATAAAAATGCGCAACTTTAAATAAATATAGACAAGACGTTCTACTTAATTAAATAGACTTTTTTAATAAATGTTTTCTCCTAAAACATCAATACGCGCTACACTGACAATAGTTTAAAGCGATTTGAAGCATGTTTTATATTCAAAATGGAAATATGGTTTTGGGGGGGGAGGGAGCCGAGCTTTGTGACGTCATATTTGAGGGGGGGGGGTCTGACTTTTTGTGACGTCGTGTGACGAGGGGGGTCACAAATCGTCCAAAATCGCTTGACGTCATATATGGACGGTCCCTAAGAGCGTTTCCGCTCGGCCCGCGCTGACAACGACGCGGTGTTGTTGGCCGTAGCGAGACTCCGAGATGTCCACCCAGCTGTCAATCGTCCTGCCCCTGATGAAATCACCCGAAATTTGGCCCCATCTCGTCACGCCTCAGAATTATCAGCCGCTGCAATGATGCATTGTGGGCAGCCGAGGGCAGTGAAGCAAGAGCCACCCCTTGTGCTGTACTCCTGCTGGGCATCTGTGAAAAAGAGCTTCATAGCTCATCGGATTCCTCCAGTCTAAGTAAAGATTCTGATTCATACGGCCCCCCCCCCCCCATGTCTGTGCTCTCCGCGTTAACCAACTCACACTGACCAGCGTGGTGAAGTATGGTCAAACAACCCCATGACCAACAAAGCATTTGGAGGCCCTCATCCAGCAGTGGATTGACAAACGAACTGTATATTACCCATCTGTCTCGAGAAAAGCAGACATGGAGAGGCCAGAGGAACAAAACAAATATATACGTACGATTCAAGAGCATAATGCACATTTATTATTTACAAAAAATCTCCATCATTGTTCATCCGAGGCAAGAATGCATCAATTTCAGAGCAAGGCACCTCTCGGTATGTGTACGTGTGTGAGTGACAGATAATGAAAAGGTGTTTACGCAGCTTATTTCAGCAGGAGTTGGCTGCGCTTCTTGTATCTGTACGCTCGGCTGCGCGGCCACTGAATGAGCGCAGTCAGAGCGCATAAATCAGGTCCCCAAAAACACGCGCGCGCACACACGCCGCGGGCCACATACAAATCAGGTCTCATTTCCTACGAGACTCGGTGCGCGTGTGCATACGCGCGCACATATTGAACGTCAACAGAGGCGTGTGCAATCACAACAAATAGGCAAATGCGGTGTACAGATCGCTTCGCGGTGTACGTTTACAATAAAGAATTCAGCCTCGCAATTTTGCTTGCATGCGCCACTTCTGGCGGAAGGGCATCCACGAGAGGAAGCGATGCAGAGTCCCTCGAGTCCAGCGGTTCTCAAGAGTACGGTCCGCGACAGCCCTCCAATTGATCCGCGGGGCTGTGGTGCAAATGCAGGTTGATCCGGAAATAATGACGATGTTTACACGCTTTGTTTTGGACGTCGGTTGATATTTTACTCGTGATAATTAATAATAAAAAATTAAGTTTAGGTAAACTACCCTGATTTAAACTACCCTAAGCATCATCTAAATGCACCACCACCTAAAAACAGTAAAACCGTACAGCTGCATTAAAAAAAAATATGTTCGTAATATTAATCATTTTGTATTCGTGGTATTTAGAGAGAGAAGTGAATGTGTTTTGTCACCAGGGGTGGGGGGGCTGGGTGGCCCACGGAAATGTTTGCATTGGCTGAGTGGGATCCGCAGGCTAAAAACTGTTTGAGAAGCCCTGCTCTAGACGACCTTTTAGTCCTACTCCTTCTACACGCTGGCCTGGACGTCTTGCAAGATGCGGGAGTAGCCCACACTTTATTCCACCAAATTTTATATCGCTGGGTGGCCAGAAGCGGGGGAATTCAAGACACTCGCACCACTGTTTCGACAGCTGCGTCGGGATATGGAATCGAACCGGCAACCTCTACTTTACAAGTCCAGCGTCGTGCTAACATTACACCACTGCGGCAGCGTCCGTTGGGGACGTGACGACGCATCGATTACAACCGATTAAGATCACGATGATACATTCAGCAATTCATGTGCGCGAGAGTATATTTGTGAATTTTGCTATTTATATGTAAATTATGTATCACCCATCATACATAGTCCAGTGTGCTAACCACTGTACTGTGGGAGGATATCTTATATTTATTGTATCAAAAACAATTTACACCAGTGTGACTTATGGCACATCAAGACAGTGTACAATTTCCGTTGTTTGTGTCATCAATACATTTTAACTGCATTATAATCGTGGCATTAATGAACTGGAATGCTATACAACGAATATATTACCATTTGCAACTCTCACAATGAGTGGGCGTAGCTTCACATCAAGTCAGGGAATGTGATTCTAAACAAGAAGACATCACTAACATTTATGTTCTCAGGTCTATAGGGGCTTACCCACACTCAGTGGTTGCCATGTGGAGTGTTGCATGGCAAAATATAAAATTGCGTGTGCAATCGGCATCGTTATGAAAAGGGTTCATTCAGAGAACGGCCCGTGGACGTAGATATTACAGAACTACTGTTGAAATTCATTCACGTTACCCTCATCCACACACCAAGGGATATTGCACTTTTCCACGTGCCGTGCTATACAAATTATCGCCGCATGGCAGTCAAACCCAAATGTTTAAACTAAGAATCAAGATTACTACGAATTGGAAACCAAATCGGTGTGGTAAAGTGGACTGACAAAAGTGCTGTTTGTAAATGTACTGGTGACTGCGTGGAGATCATCAACTGGCTACTCCTGAGAATCTGGTTGATACGTGGATGGCTTCATCTTGGATTTCAACTCAGCGTCTCTGCAGTGTCAGCTCAGCTCTCTGACATGTACTTCATCAAGTCACCGAGCCACGTCAACGACGTACAACTCGAAACAGTTTGGCAGGGCTCAAGTTCATTTCCCATTTTCGCCCTGGACTAATTTGCATATAGAGTACCCTAGTCCACTACAATATCATGAATAGACTGGCTCTACCATGGAAATGTGAAATGTTTTACTGGTTCAGGTCTGCACTGTTGCTTGATCAAGCATGGAGACACTATGACCTCAATGTGACCTAGAAACTGGCTGGGAAAAACCTTCAGCCGCGTCTTGGCAACTTGGCGTGTGAAAGGGGCGGCATATGTTTGGGGGAGGGGTCACATGACCAGAATCTGTTTCTCTGACAGAAAGGGCTTCACCGCGGCCTCGAGAGCAACTTGAAAGTCGTGGAAAGGGACCTCGTTGCACATGGGGGCCGTCAGCTTCCCCACGCGTGCCAGGCTGCAGAGCTCCGACAGCATGCGTGCCTGCCGCTCACCGTCTGCTTTCATGCACACACAAAGATCCTCGTATAGCCGTAACATACTGATGGGGCAAGTGCTGTTAGCAAGTAGCACCGATGAAGGCTGGCACGGTGAATAAGAGGGTGGGTGGCCAGCACCCACGCCCGGCTGCCTTTGTCTTCCCTGTGGTGATGTTTACACACCGCGTTAGGTACTCATTTGTGTCTGAGTCAATCTAGGGGAGGCTCATAACCGGTTCAGATAATCCTCACTGGTGTTAGCCATGAGCGGGAATAGTGCTCCGTTTGCCGGGTTCGTACCGCAGCACGCTAGAAGCTGTGCCACCGCCCCCCACCAATACACACTCGCAGATACACACATATATAGAATAATGTATACATCGATCCACACACAAATACACACAGCCTCAACACTAGCGTACAATATGAATATAAAAACATATATAAACAAAACAATGCTGACCAAGGTTGAGGCTGCGTAAGTTTTGGATTGGGTGACCACAATGCATAACAGGCTGCTGCAGGGCAACGCTGTGAGCAGCAGAGGGCAGTGCAGTGAAGTCTACGACGGTACCGTACTTCTATGCCACCAAGCCCTTGCTCCCTGCCTTCACCAATCCGCATTGGCCAGTATTGGTGACGTTATGGTGTGGCGAGGCCCTCATCCAGCAGTGGATTGATACAATGTGGTGTCAGTGTACACATGTAGAATCAAATTATCGTTCATTTTGGCTGCACCGTCCTTTAAGCTCACCCTGAGCATACTGCCTTTTCCACTGGGTCATCCAGAATCCCAGCACCTTGACATCATTAAAGATGAGCGCACTCTGTGGGAGAGAAACGACACAAGCAGAGACCTGAGGGCGCGCTGACAAAGACGTCATTTAACTGCTGAATACAGTAGCCTATTGCAGCGGAGACGACAGGGCAATTTGTAGCAAGATGAAAAGATGTTACAATCTGCGCACCACAAGTTTCTACATTTAATTCATCGCGTTAAAAGTGGAGCTGTGTCACTGGTGGACAATGTGAGGGTGGGTTAACACGAGTGGCAGACTGTTGCACTCACACTGCCTACCCTGACAGCGCAAGTGGCAAGTGTGAGAGGCAGCAGAATGAGTACCGGAGCAGTGTGTAAACATCGCTATTGGGGAGACAAAGGCGGCTGGGCGTGGTGCTGGCCACCCGCCCCCTTCGTGTGCTGTACGGGCCTTCATAGGTGCTACTCGCTAACAGCACTTGCCCCAACAGTCTGTCAAGGCTGTACGGGTGGGGGGCGATCTTGTCTTTGGCAGGAGAATGTGCAAGTGGCAGAAAGTTCAAGGTGGACTGTGTCACGGGCGGACAATGTCAGCGTTGACACTGTGTGGGTCGCAAGGCCCTTGCCGTGGGGATGATGACGGGCTGCCTCGACATCCCTCCGTACGTCACCATGGTGCCAGATCGCCTGTCGCGGCACGGGGGTCGTGTGACACAAGCGGTGAAATCACACGCAATCACTCGCCAGCTCCAACGCTCGAACATCATCTCAGCCAACCCGCTCACACGCCTCACCCATTCACACGCCTCACCCATTCACACGTCTCAACCGTTCGCTCGTCAGCTGCATCATGCACACACTCACACATTAACATCTCACCCGTTTACTCATAAGCTACAACATTTACATATTCCATCAATTCACTCATCTCACCCATTCACACATTCACTCACCGGCTACAGCAATCACATACATCAACCATTCACACACCTTACCAAGTCACACATCTAAGCCATTCACACATCTCACCTACAACATTCATACACCTCACCCATTTACATCTCACCCATTTACTCATCAGCTACAACATTCACATATCTGAAAGCATCTGTCGAAGCAATGTAATCCATTAAAAACCTCCCGCTCAAACAATGTCTGAAGTTGACTTTGTTTTTAGGCATCTGCCGATTTGCTTAAAATTCACATTTCAAAATTATTCGAATTTGACTGCGTGTCACTTCATCACCTGGTGTTGCTTAGGTCGCCCTCAATCCACCTGACTTCCTTCATGTTTCCTGAAGACGCTTTGCGCAGTTTCAAGCGAAACATAAAAAGGGAATTGCTAATTTTATTTGTAGGAACTGTTCTTCAACTTTACCGGCGAGCCGAAACAACATTAATTGGTGCATTGAACACATGTACGTGTGACAATATAACTTGTTTAGTATTTCCGATTAGTACGGTTGGCTACGTACGGTGCGAAAGAAGTTCAACATATATATTGTTTGGCTATGTTCAGTGTGGTAGAGGGTCTTTCGAGACACATCTGGTCGGATGATTAGGTCGCCTAGCCCAAAAATTAATTATGAATTTTAATAACTTCCAGAAAACACCTATCTGCCCACCGATGTCTTTTAACGCTGCCGAAATACGGGTACCAATACTGGTGGCTGTCTCTCAAAGCTCAATCGGGACACGGTGAGGCCGAGTGTCGACGGCGAGGCGCGGTCACATCAGCGACGTTATCCACGATGATCTCTCGATGTTGTGCCATATTCTCCAGATTGAAAGACACACTTTTTTTCTTGTATTTTAAGCCAAAAGTTGGCGGTGGTTCATATTAAAATTCGATCGGTGTGTCTATGCGTCTCTATGTAAGGGTACGTGGGGGTCTAAGGGTCTTGAGGCGTGTCGCTCACTCGATATTACGAAGGAGCTCCGTGGCGCTCTTCCCTCCGACGCAGTTGAACGCAAGTCGAGGCTTGGGGAGCTTCTGCTCAGAAAAGCACGGGCGGGGACAAGTCCACGGTCACGGGGGTTACAGCGTCAGGGCACTGAACCCGATATTCACAATGTTTATGCTGAATGTTCTCATGCAGGTAGTTAAAATAACAGTTACAAAGACATTCACACACACACACACTCATGTACCCATACAAAAGATACGACAAAGACACCCCTTATAGCCTAAATAGGCTGTTGGGGCAAGTGCCGGTTGCGAGCACCTATGAAGGCCGACATGCACGAGAGGTGGCGTGGCCAGGACCACATTCGGCCATATTGTGGTTTGTAGCGCAGTGTGCCAAGCACTTCACTATCACTTCACGCACTCATTTACGATTGTTGTCCAGTGGTTGTTAACCCACTATAAGGAACTCGCACTCACACAAACCCTCAAGCAGTTTTATCGGGACACCTCCCCCACCTTCCACAGCTCCTTGGCCTCCACCTTCCTGAGCTCCTCCTCAGTGAGGACGAAGTCTGCGCCCATCGCCTTCAGCTTCTCCACCAACTTCCCCAGCTCCGGCCTGGCCAGGTTCGCGAGGGGTTGGTGGGTTGGTGGGTGAGTGGGCGAGCGAGCGGATGAGTGGGTGCGTGGGCGAACAGGTGGGCGAGTGGGTGGTCAAACAACCAGCGGAGCGGGTGGGCGGAGCGGGCGAGTCGTCAAGCGAGCGGGGTGGGTGAGTGAATTTTATGAGCGAGTGAGTGGGTGAGCAGCAGGAGGAAGGGAGTCAGGCATGGTGGAGCAACTTCAACTAGAGACACAGGCAACATCCAGCCGGGACACGGGAAGACGGGGTCAATGGGTGGGGTTGGAGGGAGGGACGGAGGGAGGGAGGGAGGGGTATGTTGCGGCGTGGCGAGGTTGTGGTGTTCGATGTAAGGAGGTGAGCTCACCTGTCTCGGACGATGTTAACCGTTGTTACGCCCATGGAGGCCGCGATCTGGATCACCGCCTGCCCCACCGCGCTGTTGGCCCCATTCTGGATCACCACATCGCCTGCGCGCAAAGCGCGGAGACAACCATCATTGAGAGTGCCATTGTAAGTGTCAGTGACAGTAATGATGACCGTGCCAACTTAAGGAGTGCCAGTGACATGGCCATGATAGTGCTAATGGCAATGCCAGTGAAAGTGTCCATGGCAGTGCCAATGTAAGAATTGTGACTGACAGTGCTAATTACAATGTCAGTGACAAGTGCCAGTGAAATGAGTGTCAACCAAAGGAACAAAGCCAGTGCCAATGACAAGAGTGCCAGTGACAGTGCCAATGATGGTGCCAATGACAAGATGGTGAGCGCCGCTGCTAATCCCGGTGCTATTGAAAGTAGAGGGAATGACGGTGCCGGTGATGGTGTCAATGACAGGGAGAGTGACGGTGCCGTTGTGAGGGGTGCCTGGTTTTAGCGGAGTGAAGTCGTGCAGCATGCGGTACGCTGTCGCCGGGTTCACGTGAATGGTGGCGGCGGACAGTAGCGGCAGGTCACGTGGCACCGTCACCATGGCATCCTCGGAACACACGCCAGCCGTCCTCCACGTGCCTACACGAACACAAAGACACCGATACCAGCCCCCAAACCCGTATAGCCTTTAACAGACTGTTGGGGGGCAAGTGCTGTTGGCAAGCACCTATCAGTGCGGGCACGACACACGAGGGGGTGGGTGGCCAACACCACGATGTTTACACACCGCACCAGTGATGATGTTTACACACTGCACCAGGCACTTGTTAAAGGAGTCAATCATCTAGGGGAGGCCTAGGACCGGTTCAAATATTCGCCACTGTTATTGGTCATGAGTGGGGATTGAATTTGGGTCATCAGATCAGTGCGCCCGGTGCGCTAACCATTGCACCACCGCTCCCCATACACAGCAAAAGACATGCGCACACACCACCCATCCTGCACATACTTATACCACACAGACCAGCATGCTCTAATTCATAGCACACTGCCAGCATTGCACGCGTACACACAACACACACACACAGAGTTTGATATGACTGTGCTCTGACTCACCAAACACCGAGCCCACTGGGAGGACCCAGTCGCCTGGTTTCACCTTCGTGACTTTTGACCCGACCTCCTCCACCTGCCCCACTCCCTCGTTCCCGCCAATGGCCGGCAACGGGGGCTGGATCCCGTACTTCCCTGCCACATGAGCACACGCACGCACGCACACGCGACACACTCACTGAACCCGACTGCTCGCTGCCCGTGTTCTTTAACGAGGAATTCATCTCTTTAGTTTCTCCCACAGTAAACGGTATCAGAACTTCATCAGGAAGACTGAAAAGTTGGGCACAGGATAAATGAGCAACGTGAAGGTTTATCTACAACAAATTTGCTAAACAATTAGAAGTACTCTATATGTTGGAGGAACGCACTGCATATCTATTTATCCACATCTTCTTCAACTAAAAATTATCTACAAATGCTTTCAAATCAACCAGAATCTCTCGATCTCTCGTTGTGACCTTCGGTAAAATGCAAATTGGAAAGCAAAGTGCATAGTTTTTTACAAAACCGCGAATCGAAATGTGCCATTCTGTTCAAGAGAGCGATGTCTGCGCCCTGCCCCTCTCACCCTGCAACATGTTGATGTCGGCGGGGTTAATGGGAGCAGCGAGCATGCGGATCAGCACCTCCCTCTCGCCAACGGGGGGCAGCAGCTGCTCCTCCATCCTGTCACGAGAAACGAGACCCAGGTGACTCGAGGGATGCTGGGCTCTGGCGCTGCTGAACAGGGTTCTAAAGCGTAAATGAGTCGATAGATCCCAGCCCCACTCATCCATCCCTCCTGTGAACGTTTCCTGGCTTGGTTGGAACGTTGTATAGACCTCATGGACTAATTTCTTGGTGTGATTACTTTTTGTTGTTGTTTGTGCTTTTTGTTTTGGTGCCATTTCTAAATGTGTTTATTCATTTTAGATTTTTCTTGGTAGTAAGGTTTACATTTGCTTGGTAGTGACTGTATATGGAATTTTGTCCTCATATATAATTCATGTACCGCGTTGTGGAATGAAAGTATTATTCTACGCTTTCGAGTTGGGGTTGGTGGATCGCACTCATCTCATCGTGCGCTATGGCATTCCCAGGGAGGCTTTGAGGTGGCCACGAGTTGACCAGGAAATGGCAGTCCATGCACGTTGTTGAGCCATCTTGGGGATTTTGAGTTACTATTCTCTGGGTGCTATGCATTCACTCAACATTAAAACCAATAATTAAGTAGTTGGTAAATGACCCACGCCTAGGACTTGTCTACCACATCAAGAGGGCTGTAACCCTGTACCCACAGCCCTGTTGTGAATCCACTACTGGATGAAGGCGGTCCCACGCCGTGTGGGATATGGAGGTTATTTCACCATATTTTATCACGCTGGCCAATGTTGGTTGGTGAAGGTGGGCAGCACAGACGTTGGAGCGTAGAAGTACAATACAATTGATTTTGCTGCACAGCTCTCTGCTTCCAACTCAGCCCCTTAATAACGTGTTTTTACGCACGGTCGCCACACGTCCAAGCACCATCCAGGTTCAACACAGCTTGGCTTCTGAGATCTGACGAGATTCGGTGCATTTGGGGTGAATTGCCCAGAGGCTTCTAAATCCAAATCATAAAGATCAACATGTCACCTTGGCCAAAGCCGAGAATTCCACCACACCTCCACAATGCTTTCTACCCTCCGCCAGATCCTGCAGCCTCTGCAGATCACGATCTGCCCTCCATCGTCTCCCACCACCATCTGGTCTAATCCCATCTTATATAGATGTATACATCACCTTATTCCAAGGCGTTTTGCAACAATGATAAATTTGTACATTAGATGATAGTGGTTCAAATACGGAGTGGGGTTATGAACAGTGCTGATGTGGTTATGGTGAAAGGAGGACGGGTGGGAGTGGTTAAGGAGGGGTTGGGGTAGGCCTGGTCGTAGATGGGGCGTTGGGGCAGGAAGTAGCAGTAGGATGAGCTCGGGAGAAAAGATGGGTTTTAAGGTCTTAGGTCTTCTCCTCTCGGTTGCCAGACTTGTGGAGACCACTCCAATGTCCGTCCCCATTCACCGACGCTCGCAACATCCCGCACGCGGCGTAACGCGAGCGAAGACGTGACGCACTTCACCACTTTGGCCGGTTCCCCGTGCTCGGCGTACACCAGGCACGAAGCTGTGTGACCTCGTCGGGGGAGACTGCGAGAGCCCCCTAGAGCGGCGCGAGCCCCGCCACCGAGACGAGGTGCCGCTCGCAGCATCGCCATGCCCAGCAGTCCCAGCATGGTGCTGGCCTGGGGAATCTGTCAGTGGCCAGCTGAGCCGACCACAGTAGGGAGATTCTGTGTTAAAGCACAACACACAAGTGACACAATGAGAGTTAAACGGCGTCTAAATCAATCATTAAGGAACCTAGAGCCCGCGGGACTAGACACGGTCCCGTGACTTTATTTCATACGGTCTGCGGCCACTTGGAAGCCCTGTCACCCTGAAACAATACAGTTGCTTTTGTATGCAGCAATATTCTCACAGAGCATCCATGCAATAAAAACTATGACTATAATAATGAATAAAATAGTTCTGGCCAATCAATCCAGCTCAAGGATAAGCTAATGCACGAACATTTAAAATCTTCTTGTTTCTTTCGGTAAAGTCACGTAGAAGGGAAGTAATAAAATAATAAAAAAAATAAAACATAATAAAACAATTCTCACGACGTTTCGGCTACAACGCAAGCAGCCGTCTTCAGGTGAAGAATGAGACACTACCAAACTAGGAGCTTATATATAAGCTGCATTGGGGGTTGAAGAGCGCCTTAACAAAAAGAATGTGCATGTGAAGAGGAATTTAGCATATTCATGGAAAATGCGTAGGCGTTGGGCGGGGGGGTGTCAAAGTCATATTATGCCCATGCATTATGCAGGATCAGCAGCAACCAAGGGGGGGTGCAGGGATTAGCAGTAACAAAGGAAAGGAATGTTAATGATATGTAGCTGCAGTTACTCAACAACCACGTAGAAAACTAAAGTATAAACTACATAAAAAACTAAAGTATGAACTGCATCGCACCATCAGTATACTTACTATACTCTATAATAAGCTGAGTTACTAACAGCAAGTAATACATTACAATTCTACCTCGTAAAAATTCTATAGAATAAGGTTTAGATGGAAGCATATTATATAATTTTTACGAGGTAGAATTGTAATGTATTACTTGCTGTTAGTAACTCAGCTTATTATAGAGTATAGTAAGTATACTGATGGTGCGATGCAGTTCATACTTTAGTTTTTTATGTAGTTTATACTTTAGTTTTCTACGTGGTTGTTGAGTAACTGCAGCTACATATCATTAACATTCCTTTCCTTTGTTACTGCTAATCCCTGCACCCCCCCTTGGTTGCTGCTGATCCTGCATAATGCATGGGCATAATATGACTTTGACACCCCCCCGCCCAACGCCTACGCATTTTCCATGAATATGCTAAATTCCTCTTCACATGCACATTCTTTTTGTTAAGGCGCTCTTCAACCCCCAATGCAGCTTATATATAAGCTCCTAGTTTGGTAGTGTCTCATTCTTCACCTGAAGACGGCTGCTTGCGTTGTAGCCGAAACGTCGTGAGAATTGTTTTATTATGTTTTATTTTTTTTATTATTTTATTACTTCCCTTCTACGTGACTTTACCGAAAGAAACAAGAAGATGAATCCCTGCAGTCACGAAAGCTTTAAATCGGAACATTTAAAATGTTTTACTTTGCCTTGCCTGTGCCTGCATTCCCGATATGACCTGGGACAGAGTTCAAACGGCAGGGAGCATAGCAACTCGAGGTCCTCGATCCTCCCGAACCTAAACGACTTCTAGGACCTATGGTAACCAGAAGCTCAGCCAGCATTCGCTGATCTCATGGTGCGACCGGGAGAATAAGCTACCAACGGTTCCTTTAAATATATATCCACAAAACCGTCAAGGGTCTTGTTTGTAAGCAGAATTTGAATAGACCCCCGTCACTGAAAGCGTCGTAGCGACACTGATTAGTTACTCGAGGGGCACAGATTCGACTTGGCCACGACTCTTGTTTCTAATATTAACACGCCCAGTTGCCGAGAAATTATTTTCCGCATTATTGCAGAATGCGAATGTGTGCGTGTTAATGTGTGAATCTCTTCAGTGATATGGAAAATACTGTTCGGCCCTCAATAAGGAAATGCTTACCCGCTCCTGTATCTGGTGGACTAATATTGTTAGGGCTACGGGTATGGTTACTATATAGTTGAGCATTATGGTAAGGGTTATAAGTAGGGCTATGGTCTGATTTGGTTGGGGCTAAGGTTTAATTAGCTGGCTTAGGAGCAAGAGTTAATAAATGGTGAGTGAAAGGCACGGGGTTGGTGATAGAACGGATTGGACGATGATTTATACTCGGGTTAGATGTAAGGTTAGCACTCCGATTAGTATTTTAGTTAACGATAATAACGTTAAGGCTACTGTGTGGTGGGTTGGCTACGTACGGTGCGAAAGAAGTTCCACATACAAAGCGGTAGGGCGAGTGCAGGCATCGACAACCAACATAACAGGAAGAGACATTTTTTTTCGAATTTCGTGTGTTTTTTTTTAAAGGCAATAATAGAGTCGCAATGCGCGTGAATACGAGACGGGGCCCTTGATAGCATCACGTGGTGCTGGCGTTCAGGTCGTCGGGTAAACGCCAGTGATGTGCGAGTTGGGAACTGTACGAAGGCCAGTGCTGTGGCTAATGTTAGGGGGGTGGGAGCGTGTCTGTGTGTGTGGGTTAAGTGAACGTCGCGACAGTGAGCGACGTGAGTTCGGAGTGTAACGGTGCGACCGGAGTGGGGTGTCTAAAGTGTGAATGTGAGTACCAGGAGGATGGTGGGGGGGTGTTCGTGATGCGAGGCAGGCGCTGTTCAATCCCACCCTCACCTCACCCCTCTCTCCCTATCTCTCACCCCTCTCTCACCCTCACCTCACTTCTCTCTCACCCTCACCCTTCTCTCCCTCTCTCACCACCTCTCTCTCTCCCTCTCTCCCCCACCTCACCCCTCTCTCCCCCACCTCACCCCACTCTCACCCTCCCCTCACCCCTCTCTCTTCCTCTCTCTCTCTCCCTCTCACCCCTCTCTCTTCCTCTCTTTCTCTCCCTCTCACCCCTCTCTCTTCCTCTCTTTCTCTCCCTCTCACCCCTCTCTCCCTCTCACCCTCTCCTTACCTCTCTCTCACCTCACTTCTCTCTCGAGGACGCCGACTGCACGCACCGTCAAAATCACACCGCACTGTACACGGCACTGTCCACGCGCTCGCCCACGTGCGCGCGCCTCACGTGGCAGCGCGAGCTGGAGGGGCGGGGCGACCGGAGGGGGTCGGGGGCCGGAGCGGGGGGACGGGGGGGGGTATGGGGGGGGGGTGTAAGGGGGGGGGGGGCACCGTGGGGTGGAGGGGGCACCGAGGTGGGGGGCGGGGCACACCGGGGTGGAGGGGAGGGGGCACCGTGGGGTGGAGGGGGGGGGCTGGAGGGGGGGCATTGTGGGGTGGGGGGAGACCGAGGTGGGGGTGGGGGGCACACGGGGGTGGTGGAGGGGGGGCATTGTGGGGTGGGGGGAGACCGAGGTGGGGGTGGGGGGCACACGGGGGTGGTGGAGGGGGGGCATTGTGGGGTGGGGGGAGACCGAGGTGGGGGTGGGGGGCACACGGGGGTGGAGGGGGGGGGGGCATTGTGGGGTGGGGGGAGACCGAGGTGGGGGTGGGGGGCACACAGGGGTGGTGGAGGGGGGGCACCGTGGGGTGGGGGGAGACCGAGGTGGGGGTGGGGGGCACACGGGGGTGGTGGAGGGGGGCACCGTGGGGTGGGGGGAGACCGAGGTGGGGGTGGGGGGCACACGGGGGTGGTGGAGGGGGGCACCGTGGGGTGGGGGGAGACCGAGGTGGGGGGGGGGCACACGGGGGTGGAGGGGGGGGGCACCGTGGGGTGGGGGGAGACCGAGGTGGGGGTGGGGGGCACACGGGGGTGGGGGGGGGGCATTGTGGGGTGGGGGGAGACCGAGGTGGGGGTGGGGGGCACACGGGGGTGGAGGGGGGGGGCATTGTGGGGTGGGGGGAGACCGAGGTGGGGTGGAGGGGGGGGCATTGTGGGGTGGGGGGAGACCGAGGTGGGGGTGGGGGGCACACGGGGGTGGAGGGGACCTGTCAGAGAGGCAGCAGACGGTCTCTTCTCTCCCCTCCTGCGCCACGGGCACGCACTGACCAGCACGGTGAAGTATGATCACGTAACCCAAATAACCTCTCTTGGGCCTCGCACACGTGTGGGGGTGTGAGGGGGAGGCCCTCATCCAGCAGTGGATTGTCACTGTAACGCTGAACTTCTTTCGCACCGTACGCGGTTACCGGGAGGTGCGGGGAAATCACCTGGAAATGCGTCCGATCTTGACTGTGGCGGTCACCCACGTGAGGCCAATCCAGGCCCCTGGGGGCCGGCGGGCAGCAGAGGGCGGTGCAGCAAAGGCCATCACCGAACTTTGCACTGCGCCGGATGTGCGCCCATGTCTATGCCCCCCCCCCCCCCCATTAATCAACCCGCAAACTGACCAGCGTGTTTGAAGTACGGCCGTTGTTGTTGTTGTTGTCGCTGCTGCTTTAGGGGCCGTCCATAAATGACGTCACGCGATTTTGGACGATTTTTGACTCCCCCCTCCCCTCGTCACACGGCGTCACAAAAAGTCAGACCCCCCCCCCCTCAAATATGACGTCACAAAGCTTTGCCCCCCCCCCCCCCCCCAAAATAAAACATGCTTCAAATCGCTTTGAACTATTGTCATTGTAGTGCGTATTTAATGTGGCGCTGCACTCTGATGTTGTAGGAGAAACATTTATTACAACGTATATTTAATTAAGTGGAACATGTTGTCTATATTTATTTTAAGTTGCGCATTTTCACGTGACGTCACATATCTCAAACCCCCCCCCCGTCACACATTGTCACAAATGTCTGCCCCCCCCCCCCCAGGTGCATGACGTCATTTATAGACGGCCCCTTATGTATGTACTAGGTGAGTGTTGGAACTTATTTCGCACCGTACGCAAGCCAACCGTGCTAGTCGGAGGTGCGGTGGACGTGCCAGTCCACCGAGGGTTGGCACCATCAGCACGCAACGAAGGGTGGCCCTCATCCAGCAACGGAGTGGCACATGGGATGTACGTGCTGTGCACGAAAAATGCATTAAATATTCGGTCCCTTAACCTCGACAAACTAAAGCGTGTTACTGTATCTGGAGGTTTATTAGCGGAAACAAAAGTAGGGTGATGCCGCCCTCTATTGTTACGTATTCGTGTTGTTATCCGCATCTTAAGCATTCAACGTTTCCATTGTTTATGGGTACAGACTCAAAATATGTTTACAAACATCCTTGAGATTTAAGCCATTCACATTGCCTAGTTCAGGTGAACCGATACAAGATGTATTATCTTAAGAGTTTATATTCAATCGATTACTGAACGTTTTACTTTCTCAACAATAAGATTTAGTTCCACTTTTTTTGTGACGTACGTGTATTGTAATCTATAACAGATACGACATTGCTCTGGTATCTCCGATGATCACTTTTATCTACGTACGGTGCGAAAGAAGTTCAACATACATACGTATCTCACGTTAAAATATCGACATCTGATCAGAAAATCCAGCAGGGTGGGCTCGACAGAGTTTCAGGCAGCTGTGCTAATTCCTCAGATTGTACCAAGAGCTCGCTGCTACAATGATCTAGAGTCCGAGTAACAAAGCTGTCAACCCATACGGTTTACCCGTATTCTTGTACAGGGAAATTGAGTTTTCAGGTCCATACGGCGCACAGCCGTTTCAATACGGGCAACGCGATTTTCAGTTTGCACATAGTCACTTTAAGATGTTTTCTTGTTCATGTTTTTTGTTTGTTGCGGTTGCACCCGATTCAAGAGCCGAATGGCTCACAGGGGCTATACCTAATCAATGAACTTGATCTTGTTGTCTATTTGTGTCTCTTCCTTGTGATGGGACTTTGTAGGATGAACGTTGAGATTTACAAGGGCACGGGGTGACCAATACGGTCTGAATTGGTCTGTAACAATGTAGGCACTGATACGGGGTTGACAGGTAGGGAGTAAAGTCGCGGTAGGTCCAGGGTGGTGAGCCAAACGACTGACTTGATTTCGTACGACACCGTTGCCACTTCGAGTCGACCGAGCCACCTCGAAATGCCCCGCGAACCATAATTATCCATCACTTCAAGTGTAGCAGCCGCACTGATCGGATACTGGAGATGGATGGCACGATGCTGATACGATTTCACGGACACTTCGTCGTCACCGGTTGTGTCCAAGTACTGCACTGAGTACACGGTCAATGCAACTTAGCCACGGCCAAATTTGTAGACCGCCTAAAAGTTATTTGAAAGTCCTCTTCGGCACTCAGCTTATACGTAGCCGAGCGCCGTATATGAATAATCCCAAGTCACACGCTGTCCCAGTATTCTCTCCGTCCCATAGTCGGCACGCTCGGGTAATGGAAAAGATGATCCCATGCACTCCGGGAGGGACACCCTCAACACAACAAAGCCTGCAAGGGGTCCCCTTACAGCCCCCGTGACCTCTTGGGACAGACACGGCGCGGTTAGCGAGCGCCTATTAAGGCTACACACGCGAGATAATAGTTCTAACGGAAGGCATAAGCAAATACAATACAAAGCTTCGGCTCCAAAGTGACCCAAGAGAGACCCCCGGTTTCATAAACACAATCCATATAGGATGCATATCTATATGGGATGCATATAGATTGTGTGTCAACTCAAATTCAAATCCTCACCAGCAGACCGCGATAATTAACATCAAATTAGACTCTCGCCTCTGAGTTGCGGCCACTACGTCTGCAAATTTGCGCGCGTTACAAATTGTACTATTATTATTATTGTCTGCAACTCTCTTCTCGTCTTTCTCGACATGACTATTAATCTGTATCACTTGTCAATGTCGCTTCTGTCGCCGTCTGACACGGGTGATATCAGCCAAAAGAGAGACACACACGAATAAATAGCGTCTGCTTCGGGCCCCCTAACGTTGCTTGTGACAGCTTTGATGGGGTCGAAGGGCTGTGCCCCCCCCACCCGACTCCACTAATGCATTCTCCCAATTCGGAGGCAGCTCAAGTTATAGAGGTCATCACGGACAGCGGTGCTGCTGATGCCACCATCGCTTCCTTCCTCATGCGGCAGTCGAGGCACCGAACCTTCACGGTACCCTATGCTCCTACACGGTGGCCCGGAGAAATCCCGGAGAACGCGAGGAGATAGTGGTCATCATTAGCGGGGGGGGGGGGGGGGTCCTGGATTCCAGCCCTTGGCGACCAACCATGCCCCGCGCTCCACCTTCCGTTGTTTACGATTCTTCTCCCTTGTAACTGAAATGAAGTTGTGATGAGCTTGACTCGCCTGTTGATTGGTGATCGCGTCACACGTTGATGTTCACGTAGCTCTGGTTCAAATAAAAATTGAGTACTTGTGTGTACGTATGTATGCGCGTGTGTGTCCTGTGTGATGTGGGGGAGCGGTAGTGCAGTAGCTAGCGTGCTGCGCTAGGAACCTAGCTACCCAAGTTCGATTCCCGCACACGGCCAACACCAGTACACGGTTATCTGAACCGGTCCTGGGCCTCCCCTCGGTCGACTCAGCCTCAATTGTGTACCTAGTGAGATGTGTGAAAAGATTGTCACTAGGGAGACAAAGGCGGCCGGGTGTGGTGCTGGCCACTCACCCCTTCGTGTGCCGTTCCGGCCTTCATAGGTGCTCACTAACAGCATTTGCCCCAACAATCTGTTAAGGCTATACTGGGGGGGGGGGATGTTTATCTTTGTCTGCGTGATGAAGGGAGAGCTTTTCATTTGACATGCACGCAGACGGCAACAGGCACATGATCACATAATAAACGACTGCCTGGTCGCCTTTATATCCGCCGTGCTGTTATTAGTCACACCACATCAGGTACTAATTTAAGGCTGAGCCGGTTTCAGATATTCGCAACTGTTATTGGTCGTGAGCAGGAATCGAACTCTGGTCATCAACGCATTGACACAGACAACACCGCACATCAACACACACAGACAAACTGAGACACACACACACATACACAGACACACACTGCATTCACAGACTCGACACCCCTCGCCTTCCCACTGGTTGAACTAATTATACTCTCCCGAGGCATACAAATACAAAAGTCCCCCGTATATCCATAGCAGACGTTTGGTGAAAGTGCTTATAGCGAGCAGCTATAAAGGCCGGAACGACACATGAACGGGTGAGTGAGCAGGACCACACCCGGCCGCCTTTGTCTCCCGAGTGGCGATCTTTTTATGCACGGCACCAGCTATTCATTCGAGACTGAGTCGACCTAGGGGAGGCCCAGGACCAGTGCAGATATCCGTCACCGGTGTTGGCCGTGAGTGGGAATCAAACTCCGGTGGCCGGGTTCGTAGTGCAGTGCGCTGACCGCTGCACCACACACACAGTCAGTGCCGGATGAAGCTAGTGTGGGGCCTGTAGCATATGTTATAAAGGTGCCCTAAATTATAAAAACTCACTTAAATATTAAAAACAAATGTTTAACTTGCATAGTAAAGTCATTGTATTTTTTCATTTACGATACAGCCAGATAATACAACAAATTGCTAACCGTAAACACCCAGTCGTTCATAAAAGTTGAAGGCGGTATAGTACTATAGTAATACAGCAAGTACATAATTACTGAACCGGAATTGATAGCTTGAAAGCATTTAGCGCGGGGCCCTTGAAAGTGCGGGGCCCGTAGCATTTGTAGCTACTTGTGTTACTCGGAAAATCCGGCACTGCACACAGCACACACGCACGGTGAAGATCAGAGGCAAGACCCTATATCGCACCTCAGATTAGCACAGTTGGCCACGTACGGTGCGAAAGAAGCTCAACGTACCATACATACAAGGGAGGATTGCAAGGTACAGGCAGATACCCATCACCACCACCAATCGCTACAGCCATAACCATTACCCACTAGCAACAACAACAACCACAGCCACCCACTCCAACTCCAACCACTACTTCCACGAACACCACTATAACCACCAGTAACCACCTCTACCACAACCACCACCGACACTACCAGTTCTTCCATCAAACACTACCAATCTCTCACCACCACCATCGCCACCACCACCCACCCCGCTACACCCCAAGCCGCAAATCCGCTTCTCATCTCCCTTCTCCTCCTGCTCCCCATCGGCCTCCTGATCTTCCACAATCTCTTCCTCCACTTCCCCCCCCCCACCACCGCCCCCATTATTTTCCTCCCCATTCTCCTCCAAATTCTCTTCCTCCCCATTCTCCCCCTGCTCCTACTCCTCATCCCCCCCCCCCCATCATCCTCCTCCCCCAAAAGGAGATACCCCTGACGTCAACGAGTGGGGTTGGTTTCCACGGTGTAGAATTTTATTAGAGCGGTCGTCGCGAGAACACTTCGCTTGTCCTCGCGTGTGGAGGACGCTTCGCATCTCCGACTCGTGGTGAGGACCCCCCCCCTCCTCCACCCCATCCACCCTTATCTCCTCACCCCGGCACGTCTCCTCTCGCCAGAGAGCGCTTTGAGCGAGCAAGACACGCGAGGTGTTGCCAGGAGTGCCTCCCAGAAGCCAGCATCTTCACTCAGCCGCCTGCCACAGGTGCGTCAAGCACGGACCCGTCACGTTCACCGTGCACCCTGCATGCGCTGAAGCCCCTCGTTCGTTCAATACCCAAGGTGGTGGTGGTGGTGTTTTGCTTTGCTTGCTGGCCGCGGTGGCGTTGGTGCTCGTGGTAATGGTGATCGTGGTGATCGTGCTGGTGGTGGTTCTGATTGGTGGTGGTGATGCTGATGGTGGTGATGCTGATGGTTTTGATGCTGGTGGTGGTGATGATGATGGGTTTTCGTCGTGATGGTTATTATTGCGCTCGTGGTGGTGATGGTGGTAGTTGCGTTGATGATAACGTTGGTGAATGATGGTGTTCGTGGTGAGTATGGCGCTCGTGGTAATGAGGATGTTGGGGGTGACGGTGGTGGTTATGCCAATGGAGCGTTACGATCAAAAAATGCATTCGACTTTTGTCTGTTTTTTTTTCTTTCTAGAATGTCGCACGCTCACGGGTAATGTCTCGAGAGTATGGAATTATGTCAGCGATTAGTTCTGGATAAATGACCGTACTTTATTATATTTGTTTTTCTATTGCCATTGCAGTGACTTGTGTCACTCGAGCAAATGATACTCACCCTGGCTTCTTGCGATCTCACCTGGTTAAACCAAACACATTTGAAACTGAAATCACTCTGAACGCGTCCGAACTTGTCAGATGTTGGAAGCCAATCCGGCTTCAGCCTGGTTACCACTTGGTTCAGCGACAACCTGAGAAAGCCAGGCTAGCAGGTGGCAGTATAGCAAACGTATCCTTGTACAGATACAAATTAAGTCTTTACGCGCTACACGCGCCTGACGATTCGATGTCACTACAAACGCCTAATTAAAATCAGAGCAATTTGAACCGGCGCTCTCTATACGCCACGTGGAACGTGTGTATCAATCATCGGACGCGTGCAGCGCGTAACGACGCTTGATTTGTTTTCGAACGTAGATACCTGCTAAGATTGTAAATGTTGTGGCTTGGCTCTCCAACACACCGGTGTGCTGTACTAGTGACGAATTGGCCACGTTCTGTTTACGTGACAACCCTTACTGGTTGGCTGTGTCGGGTGGTGGCGGGTTTTAACGACACGTATATATTTACGCGATCTAACCCCTAAAAACCTCTATTATGGCAGACCTGGTAAGCATTCAAAAGTGGACCGTGTTCACGAGCACTGTTATTCCACTGTTGGATAAGGGTCTCCCCCGAGCCAAGACGGTTATGGGGGGGGGGGGGTTGTTTGACTCGACTATACTTCACCACGCTGGTCAGTGCGGGTTGGATAAGCGGGAGGGCTAGGACCGGCTCACATTCCACTCGCTACTGATGTTAGCCGTGGCTCGGAAGCGAACTCAATCGTGCAGTGTCCTAACCACTCCGCCACTGCTGCCCCCTGACCACCACCGTGCTTCGAAGCCCCACGATGTAAAAATCCCGTGACGCAGACTGCCCAGCGGTAGGTTCTTGTGATGATGAATCTGTTTACGCCGCCGTTGCCATGCTTGCCCGTATGCTGCCCACTTTCTAAAGAAAAAAAAACCCCCGCTGCAATCTTGAGTCACCATAACGTTCATCGACTCAGCAAGACATTCGGCATTAAAACTGCTCATAAACAAAAAAAAGCAAAACAATAGGCGGCATTACTGGTAACGGCCCTCCTTCACGGCGCATTAACCATTCGGTTTTTTTTCCTTTCCCTTTCAATGCAGTGTTATTGACACTAGCGTCGAGTTTGTATTTCGCATCCAATGCACCGCAGCCAAGACGCGGAGTGGCCCACTGCATCGCGAAACGCGCGTTCCCGGTCGATCTCGACCATTGGACGACCGTCCCATTGGGGAGGGATTTAGAACTCGCGAGAGATCGCGCGCCCGTTAGATCATCGCAACGTGGAGCTGCTGCTGCCTCCGCTGCTGCTGCCGCTGCTGCTGCAGCAGGAGGGATGATGAGAGTGTTTTGGGCCGCGTGTCAGGGCTGATCTCACCGCGCAGCGACGCGCTCGGGCCAGGAATAGCGCCACGATGTCGCACGCGCGGTGGCACGCGGAGAGGTGGTGGTGGTGGGGGGGGGCTCCCTGCACTCTCTAGGGGGAGGTGGGGGGGGGGGCGCTCCCGGGGGGTCCCTCCCTTTCTTTCCATTGCGCACGACGAGCAGGGGCCTCCCCGCTTACACAGCGGCGCGTGCCTCTGATGGGTCTTTCCGAACGCTCCACCACCACCACCACCCAGCACCACACACACGGACACAAAGATCTCCCGTGTAACCTTAACAGACTGTTGGGGCAAGTGCTATTAGCGAGCACCTATGAAGGCCCGTGTGGCGAGCACGACGCCCGGCCACCTCCCGAGTGGCGATGTTTACATATATCACCAGGTACTCATTTGAGGCTGAGTCGACCTAGGGGAGGCCCAGGACCGGTTCACTGGTGTTGGCCTTGAGCGGGAATCTAACTCGGGTCGCTGGGTTCGTAGTGCAGCGCGCTAACCGCTTCCCGCACACGCCTACCCCACACGCACACTCATCCCAAGCTGGCTCCCTCTCTCTTCCTCCCACGATGATCACCCTCTTTACCTCCATCTCCCCAGCCCCTCACCCTACCTACCGCTTCCTCCGTCCAGCTCCGTTTCTCTACGATCCATCTCTCGCCCTCACTCCCTCGCTCCTGCGCTCTATATATATCTCTAATCGCGCTTCGCTATCTCCATTCCTTCCTCTCTTCCTAAGGGGCGCCACGGTGGCGAGATGTTAATAACCTCGCCTGGTATGCAGGAGGTCGTGGGTTCGATCCCGACCGTGACGCCTGCTGCTGTATATTTGGAGTTTGCGTGTTCTCCTCGTGGCCGCGTGGATTTTTTTCCGGGTGCTCCGGTTTTCCCCTCCACATTTAGCAACATGCGTTTGGAGTGTTTGGCTGCTATACATTTCCACGTGATGATAAGACACTTGGTTGAGCTTTCATTTGAGGCCAGGCTGCTTATGAAAAATAGCTAAATAGCTCAGTGGACCTTAACTGGTCATACTCTTAGGTTTTTTCGGTAAAGTCACGTAGGTAAAAATAATGATAGAATAATAATAAATGAAAATAACTAAATCTAGTTATTTAGTTATTTTCATTTATTATTATTCTATCATTATTTTTCTATCAATAATAATAAATGAAAATAACTAAATTAATTTATTTTCATTTATTATTATTCTATCATAATTTTTTACCTACGTGACTTTACCGAAAAAACCTAAGAGTATTATTCCTTGCAGCCACGAAAGCTTCAAATGTAGACTTAACTGGTCAGTTCACTAAGTTTAGTTTAATGAATCTCTGTTTCTCTCCCTCCACCAACACCTCCACCGCCATTCACACTCCCACCACCACCCCTCCCACGATCACCACTTTCATCACGAACCACCACCACCCCTCCCACGATCACCACTTTCATCACGAACCACCACTCTCACCACCACCCCTCCCACGATCACCACTTTCATCACGAACCACCACTCCCACCACCACCCCTCCCACGATCACCACTTTCATCGCGAACCACCACTCCCACCACCACCCCTCCCACGATCACCACTTTCATCACGAACCACCACTCCCACCACCACCCCTCCCACGATCACCACTTTCATCACGAACCACCACTCCCACCACCACCCCTCCCACGATCACCACTTTCATCACGAACCACCACTCCCACCACCACCCCGCCCACGATCACCACTTTCATCACGAACCACCACTCCCACCACCACCCCTCCCACGATCACCACTTTCATCACGAACCACCACTCCCACCACCACCCCTCCCACGATCACCACTTTCATCACGAACCACCACTCCCACCACCACCCCTCCCACGATCACCACTTTCATCACGAACCACCACTCCCACCACCACCCCTCCCACGATCACCACTTTCATCACGAACCACCACTCCCACCACCACCCCTCCCACGATCACCACTTTCATCACGAACCACCACTCCCACCACCACCCCTCCCACGATCACCACTTTCATCACGAACCACCACTCCCACCACCACCCCTCCCACGATCACCACTTTCATCACGAACCACCACTCCCACCACCACCCCTCCCACGATCACCACTTTCATCACGAACCACCACTCCCACCACCACCCCTCCCACGATCACCACTTTCATCACGAACCACCACTCCCACCACCACACAACCACACCGCGCCCTCGTTCCAAAACAAACTCTTATGGAGCAGTGTGTTTATATTTAAACACACACACGCGCTTATAGATATACTCGCGGGAAGTACCCGGCGTTGCCCGGGCGAAAAATATTTTTCAAAAATTCTCTTTAAAACCTTACATATACATACACAGATACTAAGGTATTGTGAAAGCCCAATGGGCCGTTTGTCCATTTCTCCACCAACAAAATTATGAGAGGCTTGCAAAAGTTCCAAAAGTTATAGAAAGTAGTTGATGTTAACGGTTTCCGAAAATTATCGACCCCCGCCCCTCAGAAAATATATTTACCCCCACGTAGGTATATATACCTACACACCCTACATCAGGGGTCTCAAACTCGCGGCCCGCGGGCCAATTGCGGCCCTCGGGACGATATTTTGTGGCCCCCACCTTAATATGAAAGTTTAATGTTAGTGCGGCCCGCGAGTTTTATATTGTAGCAACCTCGCTGTTAGCTGCTGTGTGGGACAATGTTATGATGTTCTGGTTTCCTACTGTGCCTGTCCAGTGAATGCGGCATGCATGTGAGTGACATGGGGGGCGGGGTCGTGTGTGTGTGTGTACGTGTGAGAGTGAGTGAGAGAGAGAGCCGGGAGAGAAAAGAGTGGCTTTGGATGTGCGGAGAGCAGGAGGGTGAATTTCATAGTTTTCCGCTCACTTTCGCGCAGATCATGATGTATCCAATGCTTCATTTGTAAATCACAAGGTGCCGGAACACTAAGTACATATGACAGCGCACAGGTCCCGGAACGCACATAAAACGACGCTTAAAACAGCACACACATGCCACTTACAATGCAGTGGGACTTATTTAGGCTATACTGCAGTGACGGTATCAGTCTTTGTGTCAGTGATTAATAAAGTGGCATCTTGAGCAAAGGCGACTTCTGTGTACAGCGGAGAAAACGAACGGCCTCTAGCGTACATTTCAAAGCACACTCCTGGCACGTGGTATGAGGGGCGCTCAAAAAAGCACGGGGGCACGCACCCACACAACCTGCCGCGTCCGCGATGCGCGCACTCGAGTGCGGAGCGAGTTGACGCCGGCGACTGAGAGGTGCCCGCTCACAGCGCCCTGGTACCGAGCACGTCCACACGGCGACCCGAGTTCGATTCCCGCTCACGGCCAACACCAGCGACGATTATCTGAACCGGTCCTGGGCCTCCCCTAGGTCTAGTCAGCCTCAAATGGGCACCTGATGTGGTGTGTGTGTGAAGTCAACAGGGAGATCAAGTTAGCCGGGCGTGGTGTTGGCCACCCACCCCTTCGTGTGCCGTGGCAGCCTGCATCGGTGGTGCTTGCCAAAAGCACTTGCCCCTACAGTCTGTAAAGGCTACACGGTGCATCTTTGTCTTTGTGGTTATCAAGCTGCGCTACGAAACCGGCCATCCAAGTTCGACTCCCGTTCACGGCCGACAGGAGTGACGATTATCTGAACCGATCCTGGCCCTCCCCTAGGTCGACTCAGCCTTTAATTAGTACCTTGGTGTGGTGTATCAAATATCAACGCTGGGGTTACAAAAAGTCGCTTGTGCGTGATGCTGGCGATCCACCCCCTCGTGTGCCGTGCTAAGAGCACTGACCCAACAGGGCTCTTAAGTGGGATCTTTATCTTTTGTGTGTTCGTGACGCATGGCTGCGTGGTGCAATGCGTAAACATCAGTAATGGGGAAGACAAAAGCGGCCGGGCGTGGTGCTGCTGGCCACCCACCCCCTCGTGCGCCGTGGCGGCCTTCGTGTGTGCTCGCGAACAAGCACTTGCCCCAACAGTCCGCCAAGGCTTCACGGGGGACCTTTGCCTTTCTGCATGCCCAGCGCAGACGCAATGCTCGCGCTGCGCAGCCGCCCCGAGGGTCCCCGTGGCCTCGGGGCCCCCCCGAAGAAGGCGAGCCCGACGTGCGCGACCCCGCGAGGAGTCGCCGGTGGGGACGTGATCCTCACGCTCGACCAGCTGCTGAAACGCGACGGCGGCGGCGTCGGAGCGAGGGCTGCCCGCCCCAAGGAGACGGAGCCTCCGAACGGGAGGCACAAGACGAAGAAGAAGGCTGCGTGTCTCAGCGGGGTGGGTGACAGCTTCTGCCACGGTTCCCCCCCACACCGCCATCCCCCCGCCACCCTCCCCGACACCTCCACCCCACCCAGGCCGGCCCGGGGACTGACCCACAGCCACGTGGGTCCGTGCGCACCCCGACGATTTCAAACGGCACTAGTACTGCACAGTGCTGATAATAACAATTATAAGAAAATGCAAAGCAACGTCCGATGATCGGGCGCTTTGGTTGGAGGGGAGGGTGGGTGGTGGAGCGCGTTGTGAGTCGGCTATGAGCGACCCCACACTTGGCATTGGTTGACTGATTGGGGGTTTCGACAGAACGCCTTGGATGCTTGAGTGGAGAGTGAGTTGAGGGGAGTGGAGTGAGATGAGAGGGGCGAGGTAGGGCAGTACATGTAGGGCAGTGGAGTGAGATGAGAGGGGAGAGGTAGAGGAGTGCGTGAAGGGGAGTAGAGTGATATGAGAGGCGAGAGATAGGAGAGTGCGTGGAGGGGAGTAGAGTGAGATGAGAAGGGAGAGGTAGGGGAGTGCGTGGAGGGGAGTAGAGTGAGATGAGAGGGGAGAGGTTGGAGAGTGCGTGGAGGGGAGTAGAGTGAGATGAGATTGGAGAGGTAGGGGAGTTCGTGGAGGGGAGTAGAGTGAGACGAGAGGGGAGAAGTAGGAGAGTGCGTGGAGGAGAGTAGAGTAAGATGAGAGGGGCGAGGTAGGGGAGTGCGTGAAGGGGAGTAGAGTTAGATGAAAAGGGAGAGGTAGGGGATTGCGTGGAGTGGAGTAGAGTGAGATGAAAAGGGAGAGGTAGGGGATTGCGTGGAGTGGAGTAGAGTGAGATGAGAAGGGAGAGGTAGGGGAGTGCGTGAAGGGGAGTAGAGTGGGATGAGAGAGGGAGGGAAGTAGAGTGAGATGAGAAGGGAGAGGTAGGAGAGTGCGTGGAGGGGAGTAGAGTGAGATGAGAGGGGAGAAATAGGAGAGTGCGTGGAGGGGAGTAGAGTGAGATGAGAGGTAGGCGGAAAGGAGCCCACGGAGGACGTTGAAGCGGGTGACTGTGACACTGAATTCGATCCGGGGTTGGATCTGGAAGCCAGTGGACGGACTGGAGTCGTAGCTCGGGAGCTCGGTGTCACGACGTGCTCGGCCTCCTTGCCAGGTGTTGGAGGAGATCGCGAAGCTGAGCCAGGACTTCTCCACGTACCAGGAGGAGCTGCGCAGAAAGTCCAACACGAGCAGGTAAACACGCTCTCAGGACGTGCAGGTGACAGGTGAAGGTCCCCGCATTGTGGATGCCCCTCTGATTCAGGGTCTCACCTGCAAAATAAACGTCTGGCCTCAGTGGGACCTTTCGAGCTCTCCGCCCAAGGGCAGGTCCATGGATCAAGTTCACGCCATGCTCAATGAGCTCACTTGCCCCATGCTCATCATACAACGTCACACTTAATTAGGAAATGCAGGACTCTCACCTGGTTTTAAATAGAAGATTTTATTGACCGATGATAATATCAATCAGCCATGATATATCCACTGCTGGATGAAGGCCTCCCCAAGTAGTCACCATCTCTCACAGGAATAAATAAGCAAGCGTCCACGTCGCCCCTGCACCTAAATATAACATTTAACATTTTCATCCATCAGCCAATCGCCCTCCCGATTTGTTTCCTGCAGCATTCGTTTCAGAAGCAAAAACCCTGGACGAGTGTCAACTTCTGGGTTTAATCAGCAGAGTGTGCCCTGAAGGACCGACCACGTACGCCTCGTTCACTTCGAGTAATGGCTCGGAACAAAACGTATACATCAGATGAGACAGACAGCACCAACGAGATAGTACAAACTAGACAGGACAAGACAGTACACACAGTACAGCACACAGGTGACAATATCTACGGGGCAGCCAGCACAAGGAGACAAACAGTACAATCAATACAGCACTGGCAGTGCTCATCAGTACAGACGAGACTGGCAGTACAGGCCATTCTTATCGAAGAGACAGTACAAGGGAAACAGCAGATACGATGCAGATAATCAGCTGCAAGCGATACAGACCAAACAAGGCAGCACAAACACGACAATATCAATCTAAGCGCACAATCGATTCGCTTCCCGTAATCGTGAACCATTCCGTTCGTAACATTCCCACCGAGCGCGTCCACGCAACCTCCCCACCACGAGTGACCGCACAGCTCATGGTTTCTTTCTCTCCCCCGGTTGTGACTCCAGCCCCAGGTCCGCGTCGTCGCTGTCCTGCGCCTGCAACGGCCCCGAGACGACCCCCGTCGCGACCCCGTCCCCTCCTCCGACCTGCACGCCGACCCCGGACGGTCACGGCCCCACGGAACAGATGATGAACGAGATGAACACGTGGCTGAGCTTCCACCTCGGCGTGGAGGAGAGAGAGGAGGAGGAAGGGGAGATGGAGCACGAGTGCGCGGCCATCCCTCCCACGGTTCCTCCACGGAGCACCTCCATCGTGGGAGGGCACAGTTCCTCGCCGTGCTCTCCTCGAAGCAGCAGCAGCAGTAGACTGATGCAGCTGATGATGCAGCAGCAGCAGAAGCCCTTGGACAGTCGCTCTAGTGTGGAGCAGCAGAAGCAGCAACAGCAACAACAACAGCAGAAGCAACAGCAGCAGCAACAACAAAAACAGCAGCAGCAGCAGCACTTGGACAGCCGCTCTCATGCGGAGCCGAAATCCCTCGGCCGCCCGGTAACTCTTCCGGCGTCTGCCCCACCGCGACAGGGAGCTGCGAAGTCAGTGGGAACGGTGAGCCGCAGCAGTAGGAGCGGCAGGAACAGAGGCAGCAGCAGCAACGGCAAAAGCAGCAGCAGCAGCAGCATCAGCGGCATCAGCATTATCAGCAGCGGCATCAGCGGCAGCAGCGGCATCAGCAGCAGCATGAAAGCGCCCACTACGCCCGAGCTAGGGAGTCGAACCCGTAGGGATGGCGTCTGTGGTCGGGTCGGGTCTGCGGACGCAGCGTCGCGGGGACACCCGGTGAATGCTGGCCGTGCGGACGCGATGCAGGTACGCGTGGCTTTGCCGATGTGTGCGCGAGCGCCTATAGTTTAAGGCCGACGCGATGCACGAGAGGGGTGGTTGCGGACACCACCACGCCCGGCCGCCTTTGTCTCTCCACCGGCGATGTCGTTAACGCACGCGATTCGTGGCACAGTAATGTGCGCGCTGCGCGACGAACCCGGCCACCCGAGTTCGATTCCCGCTCACGGCCAACACCGGTGACGATTATCTGGACTGACCCTGGGTCTCCCCTAGGTCGACTCAGCCTCAAATGAGTGCATGGTGTAAAGACAAAGGCGGCCGGGCATGGTGCTGGCCACCCACCCCTTCGTGTTTCGTCCCAGCCTTCGTAGATGCTCACCGACAGCACTTGCCCCGACGGTCTGTTAAGGCTATGCGGGGGATCTTTGTCTTTGTATGGAGAGCGGTGGCGCAGTAGTTAACACGCTTTGCTGCGTAGCCTGGCCATCGGAGTTGGACTCCCGGCCCACGGTTACCATCAGTGGCGAGAGATACTTCAACGTGTACTCTGCTTGTCCCAAGTCACACGCGTATTGGGGAGACAAAGGCGGCCTAAGTAGGTTATACGGGGAGGGTCTTTGTATTTGTTTACGTGTGCGCGCGAGTGCGTGCGCGCGCTCGCTGACGGCACTTGCCGCAATAGTACCTTGAAGGCTATGCGGGGGATCTTTGTCTTTGCGTAAAAGGGCGCGGTTGTGGTTCGCGCGACACTGCGCTACGAAACCCGGCAACTCAAGTTCGATTCCCGTTCACGGCCAACACCAGTGACGATGATCTGAACCCGTGTTGGGCCTCCCCTAGGTCGACTCAGCCTCAAATATGTACCTAGTGCGGTGTGTAACATCGCCGCGAGAGAGACAAATACGGCGGGGCGTGGTGCTTGCCACCAACCCCATCGTGTGCCGTGCCGGCCTTCATAGGTTGCTGCTCGCTATCAGCACTTGCCCCAACATTCCGTTAAAGCCTACAGCGGGATCGATGTGTGTCTTCTCTGTCTCTTTGTTATCTCTGACTCCGCCGTGTAAGTCTGTCTGTCTGTCTGCAACACGTCAAATCTGTGTCGAACTGTGTCTGTCCCCGCGGCTCTGTGTGCTTGTCTCTGTTGGGCATGCGCGTATCATCGGCGTTACGCGGTGAACAGCTAAAACAACAAAAAAAATAGCCAATCAAATGAGCGAGCAAAGTCAACCCTGGCCTAAGTCTCCCTCCACCCTCGTATTCGACAGGGGGGTGGAGGCGATGGGGGGGGGGTCACGCACTTGGCATGCGTTCCTACGCACATCCCCTGGTGCCAGATGGAGACCTCACCGCGCCCGTGTTCGTGAGCTTTAACGCACATGAACACGGCATTGCTTTTCCTAGTGCACTTTAAATAACTCCTGCGTGCCGTGCATTATTAACATGATTGACAACGCCACGAACACGCCTAGGGAATCTACCCCCCCCCCCCCGCCCGCCACTACTCTGCCCCCCCCCCCCAGTGTTAGCAGATCAGAGGTTTAAAAGAAATCTGGTATATACCTCTGTATATGCTGCGTATGACCATACTTCACCACCCCGATCAACTCTAACTGTAGTTTGGTTTAATGTAAATGTGGGTTAAATTTAAAGGAGATCATTAATTGCATGAGCGTTATCTTTTATAATGCCGTGTTTCCTGTGCTCACTGATGATACATTGTCGATGATGATATATATTTAAGTTCCAAACAAATTTGTGGGTAGACTCGGCTTATCATCCTTCAAGTGGCAATTAAAATAAGTACTAGTTTGTCAAAAGTAAACAGTGTGCGAACAGATTTCCCTTGGACGTAGGAATTTCCACCAATTTCTTTAATCGAGAGAAGTTCATATTGTCAGATGCGGAAAAAAAAACACTTGGCATAGAAAAGTAGAATTTCCACCACCTTCTTCGATCGAGGGGAGTTTAGATTCTTCCGTGGAGAGAGACTGGCCCCCACCAGAGGAATGTACAAATTTCCACCTCGAACTCTGCGCCGCAAATAGCGGTGAGCACGGGCTTGAACGCGCAGACAATGTGACTTGACCTTGTGAGCGGGCGGCCCAGCAGTGGGTACGTGCGCAAGTTGACACTCGGACACCGACGCTCAGGGCTTCATCCCAGTGCCCCCCCCACCACCACCATCTACCATCCCCGCCAAATATTCTCCGGGTCGCTGGTAGAACGACGTGAGGTGACGCGTGACAAATCCGCAGCCAAAGGCGCCTGCCGGATGCGGTGTGCCGGGTGCGGCCATATCTTCTGGGTCTCCCGGCTGAAAGTGAAGTGAGCCATCAGCGCGTTTCACACGGACTCCCGACAGGGTCACCGCCAAGCGCTTGTTCCGTGCCCTTCCCTCGTTAGAGGCAGAGGTGCGAATGGTTCTCATGCTCAAGCTACACAGGTGAAAGCGCGCGTCCGAGGACGGATCGATAACGTCCGACACACATAGTGCGCGCGTCAATGTTGACCGTGTCATCCCTGTCCGCGCGTGTGGCGACCCGCAGGGCGGCGAATCGACGGGCACCCTGCCGCCCCTACAAACGCGCTTCTCTCTGCCCGCCCGTCCCTCCAAGCGCCGTCTCCCCTCCCGCTGGGCCGGCCGTGCCCCTCCGGAGAGCCCCGACTCCGGCCGGCAGGAGCCACCGAGCCAGCAGGAGCCACCGAGCCGGCAGGAGCCCGCCGCTCGGCCGGCTCCTAAAGGCGCGCGCCCGCCCACCGCGTGCCCGCCGGCGCCCAAAGTGGACCGGCCCCCCGCTGACTCGTACAACATCCACGACATCATGGACATTTTGTCGTGGGGGGACCTGCGGTCGTCCGCCGTGTAAAGTGAAAAACAAAAGAGCACCCGGCGCTCGCGCCTCCCCCCCTCCCCCCGCCAGCGCCACACGTGGAGGGGCACGCACGCGCATGCACGCGACGTATGTCAGCACACAAAGACAAAGATCCCCCCGTATAGACCTTAACATAATGCTGGGGCAAGTGCTGTTGGTGAACACCTATGAAGCCCGACACGGCACACGAGGGGGTGGGTGGCCAGAAAAACGCGCGGCCGCCTTTATCTCCCCCGTGCTGTTGTATTCACACACACACACCACATCAGGTGCCCATTTGAGGCTGAGTCGACCTAGGGGAGGCCCAGGATTGGCTGGTCGTAAGCGGGAATCGATCTCGGGTCCGCTGGGTTCGTAGCGCGGCGCACAGCCCGCGATACACGACCGCCACTCCCCATCCTACACACAAAGGGTTCGTGTTCTATGCACGTCAGCAAAAAAGACTCTGCCGAGGCCATCAGTACCTGCGAATGCGACACGCAGCGAGCGGGACTGTAAATATTCATCCGTTATCGCTCCAACGCGTTATATGAATGTTGCTAAAGTCTCGCTGGGGGCTTTTTAATTTTATTTATTCTGGAATCCACTGCAGGATGATTGTGTTCAGCTGGGCTCTTCTCTGTTTCATCGCTGAATTCTAATTTAGTTATTTGCTGTCCCAGCTGTGCTCCAAACGTGCGGCACAATGCTGTATGCCGACACTGTAAGACTAGTTCAACACTTAGGCTTTCGCGACCCATATAATTCATAATAAAGGTGTTTGGGTTATATTGCGTGAGTATAAATGCGTCGTAACCCTCCACCACCCGACACGGCCAGTAAGGTTTGTCACGTAAACAACGCGCCAATTAGTATACTACGACAGCCCACCGGTGTGTTGGAGAGTAAATCCACAACATTTACAAATTGAATTCGACGTTTCGCTGGTAATTACAGCAAGCATCATCGGGCGATAGGCCAGAATAATTATCAGGACTCAGCAACCCGAGTTCGATTCCCGGCCACGGATAACATCAGTGGTGAGTGACATCTGAAACGGGACCTGGGCACTTCACTCCCCTTCAACAAACCGCATGGTGAAATATGGTCAGCCCCCCCCTCCCCCCCATCGCCCTCCACCCCCATCACCTCCCACCCATGGCCAATCAACAACAGCGTGGGTAGGTCGTCATCCAGCAGAGGATTGACAGAGGGCTGTACATATATTTGTTTTCATTGTAATTGTAACACGATGCCTTGTAATGTGATGTGGTAACGTTTCGTGAATAGAATGTGATGCAACCACTGCTCGATTACAAACAGTATGTGCATGGCATGCCGTCCGCGTCCAGACGGATGCGTTGTTAAACTAGTGACATGCCGTGATCATGAGGTGCGCTGTAAATAATTAGCATTGTTCATAAGTGATAAGAATACGAACACCGGAATACTGCACACGGATATGGCATTTGCATTGGATACGAACACATAGCCAAAGGTCCCCCATATAGCATTAAACAGACTGTTGGGGCAAGTGATGTTAGCGAGTAGCACCTATGAAGGCCGGCATGGCACACGAGGGGGTGGGTGGCCAACACCACGCCCGGCCGCCTTTGTCTCCCAAGTGGCGCTGTTTACACACAGCACCAGGTACTCGTTTGTGGTTTGAGTCGACCTAGGGGAGGCCCAGGACCGGTTCAGATAATCGTCACTGATGTTGGCCGTGAGCGGGAATCGAACCTGGGTCGCCGGGTTCGTAGCGCAGCGCGCTAATCGCTGTACTACCACTCCTATACTACCACTCCTCACATAGACAACAACCGCCATTCGCCACTATCACCACGGCGCTTGTGCCAGGCCATGTGCACGTTGAGGTCACGTGAAGTGTCGAATTCCCGCTGGCAGGAGGTCACGGGACAGACCCAGCAGGTGCCATGGGTCGACTGACTGAGATGACTGGCCGATACACCACCTGTAGATACACACACACACATCCTGAATATGATCACGTGGGTATGCAATTTACATAGGATATGAACACACAGATACACTTAATAGGATCACGTGAGTATGCAATGTACATTATGTACGAACACACGAACACACAGATACACTGAATATAAACGCATGGACATGCAGAGTATATATTGTATATATTCACAAACCGAGTTGAACGTTGGCTTAAATATTTATATTGAAGTGTTCCTGCCATCGCTGTTTTAGATGTTTTGATTTTTTTTTAAGATGATTGATGTGCAAAAGCAATGTGCCGTGGTTTTGTGTACGTTGTACAAATGACATCGCTATGAGTAGTACTTCACCATTTTTTTGATAACGCTTGAGTATGTAATGTTACATGAGGCATGCAGCAGCTTGTATATTCGTACAGATCTTACCACTGTCTGTACGCTCACCTGTACGCATACCAGTACGCGTACCTGTAAATAGTGGAAATGCGTACATGTGACAAAACCATCCAATAGCCAGAGGTATAATCGGGAGATGCCCAAAGAAAACGCGTCCACCTATTTCTAAATTTCCCGCAGATATCACATTTATGGCAAATACCCACGCCATCAACGCTGCCTGCGGTGCTTCTTGAGTTACAATTATAATGACAGACAACGGCCAGTAGATAACAAGTAACACGATAAAGATGATAACGATGACAAAAAAAATCTTAGAAAAAATACCAATAATCCCGTGATTTGAAAAGAACGGTAATTCGGCCACTCGTCAATAGCCATAAAAAACCATAGAAAACAAGACCACGTGGCCAACGTTGCGTCAACGTTCGTCTAACGTTGTTGCAACGCTTCCAACCACGTGGCAACGTTGACCTACGTTGACCTAACGTTGGCACGTTGCTGGGTTGGGGTCTCTATGAGAGCAATCGCAACCGGCCGAATACCTTCACTCAAAGATGTTTTGTTTTTTTCTCGCTCTGCGGCTCGCGGCTTCATCAACAACACAACAACCTCGTACGGTGGTTTGAAAAGGTCGAATTGGCTGTGTATGCTGAGTGAATGGCCCATTCTGTGCAAGGGCCCTATCAGATCTCTCGCGGATCTGCTGCGTGATGGGCTGGCTGGCAGCGAGTAAGCGGCGGTGAGTTTAGTTGGTTGTCTGTCAGCGACGGGTGAGTTAAGTTCACCGGTCGATCTGCCGCGCGGGAAGGGCCCATCGCCATCCACGCATGCTGTATATTGTCCATCGCTGTGAACACGTGCTGTAAGTATGCCTGTAAACATATTTAAAGAATAAAGGAATACAATTCAAATATATGTGCGTGTGTGCAGCTGTCAACGGTCTGTGCAGACGGTGTAAACAACTTAGCATCCGCACTGCCGACTGAGACAAACACAGACACGTGCACAGAAACAACAACAACCGCCAATCGCCAATAAATGGCGATGCACTTTGAGGTCACGCGAAGTGTCAAAGGCTCCCTGTCAGGTCACGGGACAGACCCCAGGTGGTTCAAGGGTTAACTGACCGTGGATGGCAGCCAAAATGCACAACCTTCGCAAGCCACTGTGCCACCCTGTTGTGTTTTAGCCGCCCGACACTTTGGCCATTGTTGTGAGCTTCGCTCCTTCTTCACCCCCCGTCGTTGTTGGAGGGCGACCGACTCCGACTGCCCGGTAGGGTCCTTCACAGAGGTTGGCCGATTAAGCAGTCGCAGGCCTGCGCCTTTGACACGGACTCGGGGTGCAAGACGTACAAAGCAGACTTTCGAGGCAGGCAGATGCGACGATGCCATCGGTCAACAGCTAAATATAAACATCCTCTAAATCTCGGCGAGGCCGAGTAATATGTTCGAATTTTTACTGAACTGAGTGGGCATGCAGTGGGGGGGGGGGGGGGGGGGTGGGCCTTGTTATTTTTAAGTGACATTTGCTTACGAAAAGTCTAGACCGACAGAATGTGAACCTCATTGCTGTCACCAAAGCAGATCCGAGACTGATTGGTGGTGGCTGGCACCTGGCTTTTTTTTTTATAAAGAAAAATATGGAAAGTGTCACTGAAGGTGGGAGGTAAGAGAAGGGTAATTAGGTGTGAAGGAGGAGGAGGAGGGTGATGAGTCCCATAGTTTAGCAGCACGGGGTCAACAGGAGGAGGGTGATGAGTCACAGAGTTTAGCAGCACGGGGTCAGCAGGAGGAGGGTGATGAGTCACAGAGTTTAGCAGCACGGGGTCAACAGGAGGAGTGTGATGAGTTCCAGAGTTTAGCAGCACGGGGTCAGGAGGAGGAGGGGGTGATGAGTCACAGAGTTTAGCAGCACGGGGTCAGGAGGAGGAGGATGGGGTGATGAGTCACAGAGTTTAGCAGCACGGGGTCAGGAGGAGGAGGAGGGGGGTGATGAGTCACAGAGCTTAGCAGCACGGGGTCAGGAGGAGGAGGAAGAGGGTGATGAGTCACAGAGTTTAGCAGCACGGGGTCAACAGGAGGAGGAGGGTGATGAGTCACAGAGTTTAGCAGCACGGGGTCAGGAGGAGGAGGAGGAGGGTGATGAGTCACAAAGTTTAGCAGCACGGGGTCAGCAGGAGGAGGGTGATGAGTCACAGAGTTTATCAGCACGGGGTCAACAGGAGGAGGGGGGTGATAAGTCACAGAGTTTAGCAGCACGGGGTCAGCAGGAGGAGGAGGGTGATGAGTCCCATAGTTTAGCAGCACGGGGTCAGCAAGAGGAGGAGGGTGATGAGTCCCATAGTTTAGCAGCACGGGGTCAACAGGAGGAGGAGGGTGATGAGTCACAGAGTTTAGCAGCACGGGGTCAGGAGGAGGAGGAGGGTGATGAGTCCCATAGTTTAGCAGCACGGGGTCAGCAGGAGGAGGAGGGTGATGAGTTCCAGAGTTTAGCAGCACGGGGTCAGGAGGAGGACGAGGGTGATGAGTCCCAGAGTTTAGCAGCACGGGGTCAGCAGGAGGAGTGTGATGAGTTCCAGAGTTTAGCAGCACGGGGTCAGGAGGAGGAGGGGGTGATGAGTCACAGAGTTTAGCAGCACGGGGTCAGGAGGAGGAGGATGGGGTGATGAGTCACAGAGTTTAGCAGCACGGGGTCAGGAGGAGGAGGAGGGGGGTGATGAGTCACAGAGCTTAGCAGCACGGGGTCAGGAGGAGGAGGAAGAGGGTGATGAGTCACAGAGTTTAGCAGCACGGGGTCAACAGGAGGAGGAGGGTGATGAGTCACAGAGTTTAGCAGCACGGGGTCAGGAGGAGGAGGAGGAGGGTGATGAGTCACAAAGTTTAGCAGCACGGGGTCAGCAGGAGGAGGGTGATGAGTCACAGAGTTTATCAGCACGGGGTCAGCAGGAGGAGGGGGGTGATGAGTCACAGAGTTTAGCAGCACGGGGTCAGCAGGAGGAGGAGGGTGATGAGTCCCATAGTTTAGCAGCACGGGGTCAGCAAGAGGAGGAGGGTGATGAGTCCCATAGTTTAGCAGCACGGGGTCAACAGGAGGAGGAGGGTGATGAGTCACAGAGTTTAGCAGCACGGGGTCAGGAGGAGGAGGAGGGTGATGAGTCCCATAGTTTAGCAGCACGGGGTCAGCAGGAGGAGGAGGGTGATGAGTTCCAGAGTTTAGCAGCACGGGGTCAGGAGGAGGACGAGGGTGATGAGTCCCAGAGTTTAGCAGCACGGGGTCAGCAGGAGGAGGAGGGTGATGAGTCACAGAGTTTAGCAGCACGGGGTCAGGAGGAGGAGGAGGGTGATGAGTCACAGAGTTTAGCAGCACGGGGTCAGCAGGAGGAGGAGGTTGATGAGTCACATAGTTTAGCAGCACGGGGTCAGCAGGAGGAGGAGGGTGATGAGTTCCAGAGTTTAGCAGCACGGGGTCAGCAGGAGGAGGAGGGTGATGAGTTCCAGAGTTTAGCAGCACGGGGTCAGGAGGAGGAGGAGGGTGATGAGTTCCAGAGTTTAGCAGCACGGGGTCAGCAGGAGGAGGAGGGTGATGAGTTCCAGAGTTTAGCAGCACGGGGTCAGGAGGAGGGTGATGAGTCACAGAGTTTAGCAGCACGGGGTCAGGAGGAGGAGGGTGATGAGTCACAGAGTTTAGCAGCACGGGGTCAGCAGGAGGAGGAGGGTGATGAGTTCCAGAGTTTAGCAGCACGGGGTCAGGAGGAGGAGGAGGGTGATAAGTCACAGAGTTTAGCAGCACGGGGTCAGGAGGAGGAGGAGGGTGATGAGTCACAGAGTTTAGCAGCACGGGGTCAGGAGGAGGAGGGTGATGAGTCACAGAGTTTAGCAGCACGGGGTCAGCAGGAGGAGGAGGAGGATGAGGGTTTCGTCTCGCCGTTGCGCTGTTCACTCTGCACAGCTCTCCCCCAGCACGTCCGCGCCTGCGCCGCCTGACCTCTTGCTGACAGCACCGCAAGGTCGGGGCTGATGATTTGCGCTGCCTGCGCTCACAGTGCGCTGAGGTTGCAGAGCGCCGCGTGTAAATGCTGCGCGCGTGTGCATTTGCATCCGCGGAGCTGCATGCACACGAGTGTAATGTGCACACACGCCGGAGCATAGAATCACCCCCCCCCCCATCCCTCTATTCTCTGAATCTGTCTTTCTCCGTGTCCCTCTGTCTGCAACTCTAAGTGTAGCTGTCTCTTTATCTGCGTCTGTGTCAAGGTGTCTTCCTTTAGATTAATCTCTCTTGGTGTGACTCTCTCTCTGTCTCTGTGCGTGTGCCCGTATTTCTCGCTGTTTCAGTCTTCTTGTGCGTCTGTATATCTCTGTCTCTCTCTCTCTGAATGCCTTTCAACGTCTGCGCGTCTCGTCTAAGTCTCGTGGGAGGAGAAGGCCGACGTTTCGGGACAGTGGCGTCGCGGCTGAATCGGATCGATCGGTGATTGTCGACACTCGGGGACAGGAATGGGGCCTCGCTTGGGGACTTTGCTAGGAAGGACCCCTCTGAAGGGGGCTCGCTTGGGGGCTCTGCTAGGAAGGACCCCTCTGAAGGGGGCCTCGCTTGGGGGCTGTGCTAGGAAGGACCCCTAGGAAGGGGGCTCACTTGGGGGCTGTGCTAGGAAGGACCCCTAGGAAGGGGGCTCACTTGGGGGCTGTGCTAGGAAGGACCCCTCTGAAGGGGGCTCGCTTGGGGGTTCTGCTAGGAAGGACCCCTAGGCGTTAGCGCCAGACGGTGGATGCTGCTATGCACCGTCGCTGCGTCTGCTCCCACGGGAATATTGGTGAGTTTAATATCGGTAATTGAAACAGACTCGTATTTTAAGACTGCACTTATAAATAAAATAAAGCACGGGGATTCGCAGAATTATTCATTTATAGCTCCTAAGGTGGTATTTGCAGTGCCATGTGGTCTGTATCTCCTGCTTGACAAGCGAACACAGCTGTTGTTATGGGGAGGTTAAACCTATTCAGGTCCAACCCGACGCATTCCATGAATATTTCTGAGATGCAAGCAAGAGCGGGCCAGGAGAAGACACATCTGGAGCTATTAGTAATCATTATTCAATCAAGGGAGACTTGACTTGATTGGCGGTGAGTGATGCACCACAACAGCAACAACAACAACAACGTGGTAAACTAGCTGGCAAAGCCGGTCTAGCAAGGGAGCCTCTGTCAGTGTTAGGGACTTAACCGTACCAAGAAAAATGTTAGTAAAAAAAAACTTTTTTTTTTAATGCGCACACTTTTATTTGAACTCAAAAATAGAAACAAATATTTTTACCCGAGAAAATAATATGAATTTGATGTACCGAATAAAAGTGGGTGGCTTCCTTGCGATCCGTTCAATTGTCCTTGATGCAAGCCACCCGCGAGGGCTCCCCACCCACACGCGCGTGTTCCAACGCGTGCCAATCACGTCGGTGACACAACGCTCCATATTTTCTGTTTTTGTGAAATGTAAAAAAGCAATGTCGATGATATCGCCTCACGAGTGTCATCGTCATTGTCGGCACGACACAAGCAGAACGATACCGATTGCATTGGGATGATGATTGGGATGATGGTTATGATGACGATAAAAACATCATCATCGTTATCATCATCGTCGTCTCATTGGCATCAGTGTCATCAGCATGGTTTTTAACCTTCGTGAAAATTTGCAAACAACCCGCTCTAAAAGAACACTGACCACATGGATGCCAATGCGACGATGATTATGAACTACTTTTTTTGTGTTTTTAGTGTGTTGCCCCCCCTCCCCTGCCGCATATCTTTGCTTTAGCACGGTTGGGCAACGTAGGGTGCGAAAGAAGTTCAACATACATACACGTTGATGATGATGGACGCAAACCAATGTGC